TATGTTTAGCATTCCACATATTTGACATTCTTTACATTTTACATTCCTTGCATAACATTCCTGGCATAACATTCCTTGCATAACTTATAGGGGAGGGGGGAGGTGATATAGTGGGTATACTAATTCCGACTAATTAATGCGGGGACTGAAATCCCAGACAATGGGCTTCAACACAACATTATATTTATACCAATCTGAACTTTGCCTGAAATTGTGAAGAGTATGGTTCGTAATTTTGATGAAATAGCCCATTGTCATGATAAGCAACGAAAGTAACGACATTATTTCAAGATCTTCAGTGGTGTTTGATAAACAAGAGCATGAACCAGGCGACCAATCTTACCATGAAACTTGTTTCAAGCGAATTGATGGACCTTGGTCGTGGATCATGAGTCTTCTACTGATGACTTCGTCTCTTTTCATCTTTGGTTGTGCTTCAACTTATGGAATACTGTTTCCTAACATACTAAAAGACTTCAAATCAACTCGAGCTCTTATACAGGTAGGCATAACTAAAAACTAGAAAGAATAATTTTGAAAACCTTGTTTATATTTGCATTTCGCGTAGCCTCATAAGATAATTGAAATAGTATAAGGGCCAGTAAGATCCGTTCCGTATGTGATTATAGGCACAAAGACAAGTAGGTTTTGCAGACACGTAGCTTGTAAATCTATGGTTTGAGTCATTTGTGCTATATTTCGAGGTATTTCTAATAAATGAGCATGAAAGGATTAGATAAATTCGACATTCGTATGACAATTTGTACTCGATGCTTCACTTCTGCTATTGTATTTGCATATCTTTGTTTGAAACATAAATGACTCGAGCTGGTAAACACTGATAATAATATTAATAAGATAAAATTTATATAGCGCCCTCACTATCAATATTGGATGGCGCTGTTTACAGAAAAATATATGATAAATTATATATACAACTGTATAATTATGTACATGTACAGCCTTTTGCAAAAATTATGAGAATTGTCTAAATATCTAAATATCATAATATCCATATCCAAATATTGTCCGGAACACGCGGGTTTGCTAAAGAATTCATTGTTGACATCGAGAAAATGTTCAGAACTACGGATAAGTCTGTCGCAAAAAAAAACCTAAACTACAAAGACAAGGGACTAAGGGCATCGCGTGGGATTACCCATCATGCACTTGATATTATGATATTTACATATTTCAACAATTCTCATAATTTTTGCAAAAGGCTGTATACAATTGTATATATAACTATGATAAAACTAGGAATTTCTTTCGAAAGTGAAGTGCTGCGAGTTAGAATATTACATGTTGCTAGTTAATGTATTTTACCACAGATAGCCCAAGATCTTATTGTAGAGCTTGGGCTACCTGTGGTTTCACTTAGTTCAAAAAATACATACAAGGGTTATAGTAGTTATCATTTATTTTGCTTATACAGTACATAAGTAAAAAGATCAATAACAATATTTGATAAAGTATGATAACTCTGTTACATTGKAAAAAGAAAATTCGAACTGTTGTTGAATATATCTAAAACGTAGAAAAGAAACTTTCATTTTGTTATTTTAATTGTTATTAATACAAAGTTGCAATTTAAACGTAAAAATATATAAATCTGAAAATTTGTAAATAACTTTTTAAACATTKTAATAAAAATCCGTAATGTTTTCAATTATTATGAAAAATATTAAACTATATTTCTGAAAATTSAAATCTCTAAACTGTGATTTAAAAAAATCATTTTGTTCACTTAAGGCTGATTTAGACGATACAACTTTTTGCATGCAGCCTGCGTAAGTCATCATTAAAACATGGCTACAACTGTTGTAGGGTTATTAAGCGATTGTTTTAAATCCCTAAAACAGTAGCCATGTTTAAAGATAACTTATGCAGGCTGCATGCAATGGTTGTAAACAAAAGGTGTGCTATCTAAATCGGTCTTTATGTTGCTTCCTTTTTATATAATATTTTRTATAATTATGAAAAATACTAAACTATATTTCTAAAAAATCAAATCTTTAAACTGTGATTAAAAATAATCATTATTTTGTTTCTTCCTCCTTGTATAAAACCAGTAAAATGGAAATAAACGTCAACRATTGAATTGTTTTTAATAAAGCAAGAAAGCAATCTTATTGTTAAATAAAGATTATCTTTGTATGAACAAAATTATAAGTAACTGTGACTTCTCCAATACTGCACAGAATAGCTTCCACGCTTGCTTCATCAAGATTGTCAATGTTTTCTTGGACCCCAGACCGGTTGTTWTGAATTTCAATCAAAGCAGCTAAATGCTGGTGGAAGCATGTAAGAGGCACTTTCTTGCCATCATCTACATGCTCAAATAACACCTTTGCATAGAACTGGATGACACTCTTGTTCTTATTCATTGTTAACTGGCAGGTGGAACATTTGATAAGGCTTGGCTGGGTAGGGTGGTCTTGTACTTTCTTGGCACATACACTGCATGCATTGTATGATGAAATTTGTGAAACTGCAAATATTGCCATTCTTGATTTAACTGTGTTAGTTGGCAACTCTTCCGGGGCCTCCAAATCAGGGATCGGTTCAGTTTCTGACATGGTGCATCCATTCTGTGTTGTTGAAAGTGACTTCTGACGAAATTCATTTTTTAAGCGCAGGTTGGTAAAGTTGTATGTTTTGCCTGATTCACACTTGTTGACAAAATCCTCCCACAAGGTCAACTTGATACTTCCAGTGGTATCAGATAACTGGCATTCCTGCAGTGATACAACTTTCTTGGTTGTTTTTGTTGTTACATCTTTCTTGCTTTGAACATTTGAAACCAGGCCTTTAACGGAAAGAAGTTGACCAGACTTAAACATGTTAATGTTTCCAATTTGTATACTCACGGCTGATGGAGTTGCCTTGTAGTCAAAAGAGATGTTTTGAACATGTTCCAGTCTTGTTTCTTTTCTAACTATTATGTCTAGTGGTTTTCCAGGTCTTTTGCTTCCAATCTTAAAATTTGTTAATTTGACTGGGGATTTAGACTTGGCGGCTTCTTGAAATCTTGTTAAAGCTTGCTCACTAGTATCAAAGCTAACTGCTCTCATGGTGCCACTTTGTACTTGTAACTCGCAGTCGAACCACTTGAATTCTTTCGCATTTTGTTTAATCGGTGACACATGTTTGATGTACCCTGTTATTTCGTGAAGCTTCAATATTTCCTTGTCTAAATAGGAAATGATAAATTTAATCTAAATTATTTTAATATTAATTATAACTATTAATTTTATTAATAAAATTAATAATAATGAAATTACACATGCATGGTGATGCAAATGATAAGTGAATGACAATTTGAAACAAAATAAACTTGTGAAGCAATTTGATATCTTTTGTCAAATGATATCATGCAAATTGGGTAATATTTTGCATATTGTATTTATGAAATATTTTGATTGTTACGGTAGAGAATAAACGTTATACTCAATACCTAATGTTTCTTCTTCTGTTGACATCTTGTCTTGTTCTTGTTGATCTGTTAATAAAAATAATATATTTATGTTATTGTCATATACTGAATATCAAAGAATGATAGAGGAAAAGTAAATAGATCATAATTTAAAAAGCAGGGGAAAATAAATCAAAAGAAATTCTTACCTTCCATGCTGCTGCTAATTGGTTCTAAAAAAATACAATGACAAATATGAACATGTAGTTACATTATCAATAAATATTTCTGAATGTGCTTTACTATGGTATGTTTTGTTCAATAACAATGAAAGGCGCTGGTTGTTGTTTTTGTAATCTGACAATATAGATTCTTCTCGAAGTCTGTGTTGAATGTTCCATGTGAGAACGTCTATAAACATCAAAGCTTAATATTACTGCTACAGGTAAATCAGGTGTTCTATGATCAATTGCATACATATTTTATCATGAATTTTCCCTGTTTTCTTTACAGAGATGAAAAATTGCCCAAAGACTCATTGAATATTTAAAAAATGCCATGATTTTTTTGTTTTTAAATTTAAGTATCATGTGACGCTCTTGTTGATTCCGCTAAATAATCTAACCTAGATTCTTCCTCAAGCCTATAATGCAATGTCGTAGATGATTTGATGGCCGTTAGCCTTTCAAATGTCATTGGTTCAATTACTAAAGATGACAGAGTTTTTACTCTACTAATAGCTACATATGATATGCCAGGAGTCTTTTCTGATTTACCAATATCTATCCATGCTTTTGATAAAGTAAGGCCTTGGCTCTTGTGAATAGTTAAAGCATATGCAAGTTTAAGTGGAAGCTGTTGTCTTTCTTGAACGCCTTCTAATGCCTGAGCTGATACAGTTATAGGACAAATAGGTACACACATTGGTAAATCTTCTCTTAACGAAGGACCTTGATAGTTATCAAACCTCACTATGACTGCTATAGGTAAATCAGGGGGTCTATGATCAACTGCATATATTATGTCAACAACAGTGCCTGTTGCTCCATTACAGAGGCCAACACTTGCCCATAGATTCATTGTTAGCATGACTTTTGCTCCTTTAGCAATAGAAATTGATGGTTGTAAGCCAGACATTTCATCAGATGGTAAACTTTTAGCTGTAACTGAGGAGTGGCGAGCATTTATGTTAGCACATGGTTCCATAAGCTTGGTCAGTTGGTCAAGGTTGTATGCACTCACTTCATCATTGCTGTAAAATAATCTTGTAGCATCATTAAATTCAGAAATGTTTTCTATACAAGATGGCTGTCGAGTTAGCAATAATTTCCAATCTTGAACGGTTGATTCACCTTTCCGTAGCCTCAGTAATAACTCCCTGAATTGCTGTTGCTCTGAAGATGATCCCTGAACTCTTTGATTAGCTGTTAGTTTTACTACTTTGTCAAACATCTGATAGGTTAAATAACCTTGTTCTCCAATAGGATTTGATGGTTGAGCATGATACAACGGTTTATCTACAACTGGGGGAAGCTGGCCTGGATCACCAATCAAAATCATTGACATACCACCATGTACTTTATCATGAAAACCTGTAGCTTGTTTGCAACGTTTATCAATCCAACCAAAGGTTGTCTGACCAAGCATTGAATATTCATCTATTAAGATATATTCTATTTCATTAAGTTTCTCTTGGAGCCTTGATAAGGTTTGACCAGACAAGTCTTTAGCGCCTCTAGGACCTACAGGTAACTTTAACAATGAATGTACAGTAATACCTTGGATGTTAAAAGATGCTTTTCCTGTAGTGGCAGTGACACTACACTTATTTTGCAATAGGCTGCGTAAAGCATTAATAAGATAACTCTTACCAGTACCGGCCACACCAATAATTATAAGGCACAGTGGCTCCTTATCATTTGAATCATGTTGTTGATGGGCATTAACAACGTCATATGCAAGTCTTTGCATTACAGTTAAAGTATTTATATCTACTGGTTCAAGTGTTTCAAGCTGACTGTTCGAGAAATATTCCTTCTTTACTTTGATCCAAGTAGGCATTTCACCTATTTGCTGTTCAGTGTATCTTAGTCTATCATGCTGCCAATTATGACCTTCTGCTGATAATTCACTAGTGTGTTCAAAGGGTGTATGTCTGTCAGATATTATCATCCATTCTTCGCGATTGTTGGGCTCTGTCTCAGCAGATTCATTTACATCAATCTCTTGACTTTGGATAACATTTTGTAGTTTATCAAACCAATCAGGTACATTGGTTTGTGCAAACTCTGTTTGCAAAAAATCATGCCATGAATTGATAAATATATCATCAGTTGTCTCGTCACATCCCCATACATTGTTTTCATTTATTGTCCAAGGCTTATACCTTAGAAGCTGATACTTACAATACAATGCAAAATTTGTTCCTTTTGGATTGCTAGAGTATGTTGGAAAAATACGTGGAATCACATTATGAGGTAATTTTTCAAGTTTGCCATTGACAACTTTGAAAGCTGTTGCAAACTGTACAAAATTCATATTAAGAACATGATTGGATTTATCATATTGTTGACGGTTGGCATACACATCAAGSAGGGAGCTGGTAGTGCATGTAGTCTCTGTGTCACCCTCAGAACCAATAGTTTTTACTCTACGTGAACCATTCAAACTGATTGGAATAACAGTGAATGATGAACTGTGCAATTTAAGTGAAAGTAAGTGGTGCATTGTTTCCTAAGCTGCATAGTCCCTCTCTCCAAGGGTTTTCATGACAACTTTTTTAATAGCTTTATGTGGACTGCTATTGGTATTTGTGTTTTGCACTATTGAATTAAATGCTTGTTTTAGTAAAGGTGATCTCTGTTCTCCCTTAGTTGCATATTTGGTGAGATATTCTACACAAGCATAMTGGTCAATAACTACCTGAATATCACAGTTTGCTCTCCAGCCTTGTAATTGAAGTCGTTGGTTGTTATTTAGCCTAGAATCATTTCTTTTGGTAACAATTCTTGCTCTATATTGTGGTTCATTGTCATTTTTATTATGCACTTTTTGAAACTCTATGTTAGTCTGAGTGCAAAGCTCAAATGGAAAATTAAATCTGCATTTCAGTTCCTTCTCATTGCTCTTCTTTCTTAAGCAATAATTTGTGTTGCAACGTGTGTGACGTTGAACCATGTTTAGAAGATCAACATAGTCAGAATTCATATCCCATTCAGGGATGTCTTTATATTGTCTTTGACATGGATGGACATCTGGTCTGATCCACATGTCTTCGTCAGGCGGGTTTGGATTCATGGTTGATAGTAACCAATCAACATACTTACAGGCAGTTTCAGCAGCTTTGCTACCAGAGTCAATATACTGGTCTAATTGAGATGAATCCTCTACAGTATTTTCATCTTTGAATTTCTGAGCCAAGTATCCTCTTAATGCAACCTTAGTCAAATCACACAACCCAGGATCATTCTTGAGTTTAGCAGTACCATGGCAATGAATGCTACCTCTACCTTGGTATTCAAATCTGTACCAATGCCATTTTGCATCAAGTGTATCATAGAGCCAACATTTCACAAAGCTTTCTAATCGCTGGGTAAAAAACCAATCGACAATGTGAGGATTATTAATAACATTTTGACGTCTGCCTTGGCTGGATATTTCTGTGTTTGTAGCATCATAAAACAAAGAATGCAGTTCAGGCCAATGCATGTCAGCCGATGAAAATGTAAAGAAGAATGTTGGAGTACCTACATTAGTTATTATAGCTTTTAAATCTTCCTTCACTTTGTGCCAGTAAGCATTGGTACCTGCAATATTTGCAACATATCTAGATACTTTTGACAGGAATGATGTGGAATCATTATTTTCTGCCATTTCACGAAGTTCATAGATTGTAAGATGTGCTTCACTAGGGTTTTGTTTAAGAAAAATACCAGTTTGTTCAAGAGTTCTCTTTCTTTGAATCATATTGAAAGCCCAGTAAGAAAACCTTGGGTGGCTAGCAAAACGGTACACCCATTTACCATCAATTTTTTCAGCAAACTTTATTAAGTGTTTAACTCGATCTAGAAGGGATACATCTCTTGTCAAGGCCTGATTAGTAGGATCTCCTTTACCATCAGGAAATAAAGTAGGGAATGCCATAGTGGCTAAAAAAGGAATTTGATATTCATTCAAAGGTCGATTATCTACCGTAGGCCATGACATTGGTTCGTCGCCTGAAAGCTGTTGTCTAACAGCATTTATTTCTTGCTCCTGTTGTTGACCATAAGGTAAAAAACTACTYATTTCAGTGGAATCATTATATACTGTATCTTCACTGGTATTATCAGTTGGAGGACCTAAATCTGGTTTATTATCATCAGAGACGATATTGTCATCTGTCTCAACTGTTGATGTATCAGAAGGAATATCATTGTCTGGTAATGCATTTAATGCTTCGTAATCAATTTGTACATCTGAATATAGTGGATTGTTTTGAATTAACCAATGCATTGCTAATTGTTTGTCGTCTCACACTGACATCTTTGAAAGTATCATTTCTACCTTTAACCTTAACTATTACCACTGATAAATCTTTAGGAAATCGAGGCAATGACAATGTAAGCTCTTGTACATTTTGGGGTAAATTAATACAATGACCGGAATATCCCCTTTGACCGCCTGGTTTGATATAGACTCTCATAATTGGAAGAGCACGAGCTATAAGCATTTCCTCTACTTGAGAAAGACCCTGTAACTGTAGTGGGACTGGTGATGGAATCATGGCATTTTGAGCTGAAAATTTTCGGGGACATTTTTTATCTCTTGAACATCTA